CCCTTGTCAAGTGCATAATCTCTCAAACATTTAAGAAAATTAACAGGCAGTGAAAAAAGAATAGTTCTAATGTAATGTAACCCTAGATGATGAAGATTTGAAAGAAGATCATCAAAGCTCCCAGAAGGTGATCTAGATTTGAAAGACTTTATAAAATTGGTCCGATGGTACTGTTTTTGCCCATGACTAAGTACATTCAATTCCGTATACGATATTGTCCTTGGAACAGTCCAGAGGGTCAAAAGATGTTGTTTTATAAGTTTTCCCTGTTAAGTTACTAGTGAAATCAGCCGAGGTGATTAACATATTACATGTCTTGCATGTGCTTTTCTTTCCTTTTTTATGTTTACAAGTAGAAATGATAGGAGTTGATTCACTAGTAGCGGGTGTCTTTGAACAGTCGAAAATATTTACAGTACATGGTTTTAATTTTTGAAAAATATCTGAATTTTTAAAGTAATAATTACCTTCTGGCTGTACATGGGTCAAATTAGGGATATCTCGCAGGATGTTCCGTGGAACACACAAATCCAATGCTACAGTGTTCCGTGTAGCAGGAGAGGACCTTGGTAGCCCAGGCGACGTCCTAGCAGGTTTGTTCTTTGTATTACTATTATTCATCATGCATCAAGCTAAGAATAATGTGTTTTATTGTACTAAAAAACAAGCTTTTCAAAAGTAATCTTCAGCCAGTTATTAATGGGACGTTGGTGATGTGTGTTCTCGCTTTCGGATCAAAACTGCAAACATGCTGACAAGTTAGTTGTAAAAGACGACAAAACATCTTACGACAGATTTTTGATATTTTTGACCTAAACCATGTGACTATTTTAGTCAATTGTAGTTCCTATCGGTGACCATGAAGGCACCCGTAATATCATAAGTTTAAATACCAAAACTCATAAATAGAATAATCACACTGTACCTAATTTTCTCCAAATAAACACTCATATTTGATTGGATTTACAAACAACAATTTCTTTCGTTACGAAGTTACATGGAAATTTACAACAATTATACAGGATAGGGTAAGTCTTAATTACTTCTATCAAAAGTCAATAAAAGTAAATAGAAAAACATCTATCAGCCACACCTATAATATGTTTGAAAGGACATTAAGTGGATAATTATACCTTAAATAAAGCATACTATATAGGTTTAAACATGTTCCGACATTAAACGAATTAAATTTTAGTAACTTAATCGTACAAGTATATTTTAGTTATATTTTCACATATTTAAATCGTGTATTTTATCAATGTGTAAGGCGTAGTGAATGAGACGAGCATATTTGGGTTACTCGAACTTATTACATTGAACAAAGGAGTGTTATTTGTTTCAAATTGGTTTTGAGAGCTGTGAAATGTACATGTCTAGTAGGGAGTTGCCAGGGATCTAAGGGTACGCTCTTTAGAGCTAGCAGTTATAAAACCGGGTTTAATCCACCATTTTTTACATAAGGAAATGTCTGTACCAAGTCAGGAATATGACAGTTGTTTTCCATTCGTTAGATGTGTTTGATCTTCTGGTTTTGCCATTTTATAAAGGACTTTCCGTTTTGAATTTTCCTTTGAGTTCGATATTTTTGTTATTTTACTTTTTTTTAATAAACCTACTTCTGTTTTTTTAATCACAAAATAATAGCAGTCAAAAAATTGGTTAGTACCGTGGTTGTAGTAATTATTCCCAGTAAAATACCTAACAAACATATACTAAGGCAGGCAGTACAGTGGTTTCCAGTAATATAATTGATGTCAGTGCACCAAGGCAGGAATTGCAGTCTTTGCAGTAATTAGCCCAGTAAAATCTTTATATACACGGAGTATATATATCTCCTAGTTGATACGATATTCCAGGTCTTGTATTTCCTATCATGATTTCCTTGATAGAGTGTTGCTGCTCACAATGAAGCTATCAAACCAAGAGTTCCAAGTGGTGAAATTGAAATCATCGCTTTGTTCATTTTACGGACGCCACCACGAGTTGGTTGACCGTTATGGAAGATTTGTTTCACAGATGACGACAGATTTGTTCCAATAGTCGAAACTACAATCGCGTCTCCTTTTCCCCAAATGTGACCTACCGAAATAGACTTATCAGCGGGTTTGTACTTACACGAGGAACACCTAGTCCCATGTAGAGCAGGGTCTGCTTACCTTTCCGGAGCACCTTATGTCACCCCGAGGTTTTGGTTGGGTTCGTGAGTCTTTAGTTTTCTATGTTGCGTTTCGTCTACTGTTGTTTGTCTGTTTGTCCCTTTGGTATCTTCCCCCTCTCTCTTATATAAATGCACCAAGTCAGATAGTACAGAAGTTATAGTAATTATTTCCAGTAAAATACTTTATATAAATGTACCAAAGTAGGTAGTACCGTGATTGTATTAATTATTCCCAGTAAAATACTATATATAAATGCACCAAGGAGGGTAGTGCCGTGGTTGTACGAATTATTCATTATTCCCAGTTAAATCCTTTATATAAATGCACCAAGTCAGATAGTACCACATATTTCAATCTTTTTGTTTGGTTTTGTTTCCTGTACACAAAAACGACCAATTCAAAAAGCATATGAAAACAAATGCACAAAGAAATTCATTTTGTCCTTGTATATATTTTATTATACTTATCAATTACAGTGAGACGAATTCGTCCAACATGCCAGGAAATGAAAGGTGAGCATATTATATAACATAGTTCTCTACGGATGTCAAAAAGAGTTATTCGATATTCGAGATTGAAAATTCAATGTCTTCTTTTAAACAGTCAAAATCTAATATGGCAAGTCAAAATAAATCGAACAAAGGATTAGACAAAGCATGATTATAAACACCAATGTGAAAACAAAACAAAGTAAAATAAAGATATCTTACGTACAATACATAACATAATAAATATTTTTGAGGATTGTGTAACTTTTGTTTTAAATTGGTTCAAGATTAGTCAAAGGTTTGTCAGCATTTAGATAAAGGCAACAGTAGTATACCTCTGTTCAAGAGTCATAAATCGATTAAGCGAAAACAAATTCTGGTCACAAACCAAAACCGAGGGAAACACATCATTTATAAGAGGAAAACAACAGAACAACAGAAACACTGAACTGCAACAAAAACAAACGCCAACATACATAGAAACGGACTATTTGATAACAACTGCCATATTACATGTCTTGCATGTGCTTGTCTTTCCTTTTTTATGTTTACAAGTAGAAATGATAGTTGATTTACTAGTAGCGGGTGTCTTTGAACAGTCGAAAAATATTTACAGTACATGGTTTTAATTTTTGAAAGTATCTGAATTTTTAAAGTAATAATTACCTTCTGGCTGTACATGGGTCAAATTAGGGATATCTTGGAGGATGTTCCGTGGAACACACAAATCCAATGCTACAGTGTTCCGTGTAGCAGAAGAGGACCTTGGTAGCCCGGTCGACGTCCTAACCGGTTTATTCTTTGTATTACTATTATTCATCATGCATTAAGCTAAGAATAATGTGTTTTATTGTACTAAAAAACAAACTTTTTAAAAGTACTCTTCAGCCAGTTATTAATGAGACGTTAGTGATGTGTGTTCTCGCTTTCGGATCAAAACAGCAAACATGCTGACAAGTTAGTTGTAATGAAGTCTTGTTTCGGGGCAATAAACACACAAGAAACAATCTAAGGGTTAAGGATTCTTTATTTCGTAGTTTATATCATAATCCAAAATAAAACCCTGTAATAACAATACATTGTATTAATGGATGTAATATAATTAAGTAACTATATAAAAGCTTTAAAACATTATGTTAACAATTATGAACAAGGAAACTGTTTACTTTTCCAAGCATTTCAATAATAAAAGAATAATATATAATTTTTTAAGTCGGGAATATTGATCTCCTATTCTATTGTTTCCTGAATACATCTAAATACCAAATCTAATCATAATGCATATGTCGGTGCATTAGTAACACATTATAACAGTAATGCAATGAACTGTTAAATACCAAATTTAAATAAGCATATTTAAAAATAACATATACATGCAAAACAAGAACATACGTGCAAACAAAGCATAAAGCACTTTCTAAAGTAGACAATAAATTAAGCAAAACGCACATAGATTCAACATAACATAACCTACCTCCCAGGTATTTGTGAAGGCTTGAAATACAATATTCAAATCACACCAGGTTGATGCCAACATGGTGCATCATCAATATGGTAGATACCTGCAGTACAAATATTAAATTCATAACTAACCTAATCTACATATAAAAATGAGATAGTTAATATCTTTATCAATTTATGACTTTACTTAATATCTGAAATTATTATATTCATTCTAAAAGATTCAATAGTTTAATCTCATTTACTGAAATTTAGCTGTTTTATATAATTTACCGTATTTAACCATAAAATCATTATTAAAGAGATTTTAAGTTCTTTTAAGTTTTCTATTATTACACTTACATATCACATCTACACATCATTCAAACATGCATTTATTCATAACATTCATAAATCATGCATACATATAATTATAAGTATAGATATACTTAATATATTAGTATAAGAAGAATAATTGACCTTAGAAATATGAAAACCAAACTCCAAACAGAATATAATAGTACAATTTACTACACATAGAAAATGGTGTCCATCACACAAAGTGACCATATAGAAATGTAAACTTCCCGCCAAAGAATTGACAACTAATCAATACCAATAAAACCCAATTGAAACACCTGATAAAGTCACACCTGAGCGAACCTGAAATTTACACTCCGTATAATTTAACCATGCAATAATATAATACTACAGTATTAATTATAATATCTTCTGAAATAATAAAGTTAGATTAAAAATATAGAAATAATCAAATATCCTAAAATACCACGTTACCACACACTCCCACCAGCTGTAAAATGACGTCCCGTCATTTCCAGTTAGTGTTGGATGACAATATCCAAGATGATCCTTGCTGCATCTCTCTCTAATCCAGGTGCTTTAAATAATGGCGTCTGGGCCAAAGACGAGATGTAATCAGCTTTCTGTTGCCATTCTGGAATACTTTTTTTTTTTTTTTTTTTATTCAACAACAACTAATTGCACTTTCTGCTGTTAACAATGTACTTCACTAGTCCAGCATTCCAGTAAAGAGTCCCTGTTTGTTAATACCAGAAATCCAGGGTTGTTTCTGGTAAGCATCATTATATTAAATTAACATTAGTTTTAATTTAACAGTTAAATTATAAAATTATCAGCAATGAAATTAACAAGTATATATCAATGGTACTTATTTGTTTAACAATTTACTATATATTTCATCTAGCAATAATTGATTTTTGGGTATTGTTTCCGGAAATTTTTCATATTTTCTCCGTAAACGTACGGGTGAATTGTTTTTCTATCAAACATCTTCCTGGTTTTGAAACAAATATTGTCACACCGGCCATGACTTAAAAAATAAAAAAATAAACAGATGTGATATAGCATATTCACAGGTATGTCTGAATTAAAAATTTTCTGTAGTATAAAGAAGATTAAGATTAAATAAATATTTCATTTTTTAATCTTCTTTTTGTAACGGTAAATAGTCTCGTTATCACTCATTTCAATCATCACATGTACATGTACAGTAGCGGTGAAAGGTAAAATTTATATTACTTGATCAGTTCCAGATGTGTAATTCGTAAAATTTATCTCTTTTATTAATTTATTCATCCATTTATTTTTGCTAGATCATATACTTCTCAAACAAAGAAATTATTTTAACAATTTGGCAGTTTTATCTAGAATACATTTATATTTTGTATTCTTACATTTTGCCTGCAGTTTGTAACTATACATAAATTCTGCTTTAAATACAGCATACACATTTATAGATTCTGTTTTCTGTTCAGACATGTAATTACACAATATAGCTTTATATATACAAAACATTATTAATGTAATCAAATAATTGATTTCATAATATTGTTCATCATTAATTTTATAACCGAATACTAAATTCTTCAATGTTAGAATATTATTATCAATATTCAGTTTTTCAAGAAGATTTTTTATTTTACTTAAGAAGTCTTCAAGAAAGTGACATTTCAAAAACATATGATCATAATCCTCAGTGGTATTGCAATAATGACAATTTGAAGTATTGCAGATATTCCACTGTTTTAATAAAGTTTTACAAGGTAGAATAAAGTGTAACAGTTTCCAACGAAACACTTTATACTTATTTTCTTTCAAATAATGATGAACAAATTTTAATATATTACATGTTGAACTATGAATATACTCAATTTTTAACACTGTTTTCCATCGGTTAAAACCAACAGGCATTTCAATCTCATTCTGAATAAATATATTATAAATTTTTTTAGTGTCTAAATTTTCTAATTTTTCTATATAATTACAATTATTCTTAATGTATAAAACATTATTTGTTTTTACTTTAGTTTTCTTTGAATTTTCTTGTTGTAAAATATTAAGCCATTCTTTTGGAAAGGCTTTCTTCAATTGAGAAAATTCTGACATCCAATTATATTTAATCCTGAGCTTTTGCAAAATATGTTTCTCCAATATGTTACCATTTTCATCTATAATGTCGTTTACATAGATGATATTGCTATTTATCCAGTTTTGAAATAAAAGACTTTTTTTTTATCTTAATGAATTGATTTCCCCAAATTACTTGTTGACGAATAGATATAAAGTTTTTAGGCTGCTCTATTTTTTTGTTTTTTACCCATGCTTTTACTACATTCAAATAAAATTCTGGCAACTTATTTAAACCTGGAATTGAGTTAATACCATCAATGTTCATATGAAAGATAAGGAAGTTCTTGCCAAATTTATTAAAATAAAATAATGGTATAACTTTCCAGTTGGCTAAATCTCCATATATTAATCTTTTAATCCACCCAATTTTGATGGATTCTATGTATTTATCTATGTTAATCATTTTTAGACCACCATCTAGCAATTCATAGCTTAATACTTTAAGTTTAACTTTTTCTATTTTGCTTTTCCATAAAAATTGATAAATAATTTTTTTTAATTTATCAATATATTCTTTTTCTATGTGTGAAACAGATGCTAAAAAAGTAATATTGGGTAGAATCAGTGATTTGATAACTGTTATTTTTCCCAATAATGTTAGATTTCTTTTCTCCCAGTTTTTAATTATTTTCTCAGATTTTTCTAATTGTTTTTCAGCATTGAGTTTTTGACACACATTTTTATTACAACCAAAAAAAAACTCCTAAACATTTCACTGGTTTGTCTGTAAAGTTGATGTTTTCGTATTTTTCTTTACAGTGTTTATGTTTTCCCAACCAAATGCCTTCTGTTTTTAATCTGTTTAATTTAAGCCCTGATAATGTGCCAAAGATTTCAATCATATTTAAAACTTTTGAAATGTCTTTTTGTGTTTTTAGAAAAAGTGTCGTGTCATCTGCAAGTTGGCTGATTTTTAATGAATGTGTTTTCCCATCTATCTTAATTTCAAAGCCTTTAATATTATGGTCTTGCCTTATCTTACAGGCTAATATCTCTACTGCTATAACAAAAATTATCGCACTGCACGGACATCCTTGTCGGATTCCACGTTGAATGTTAATGGGTTCAGATATCCATCCATTATTTATTACTGCGCTTTTAATATCTGTGTATAAAGTCTTAATCCATTTAAGCATAGAATTTTGAAATCCAAATTTTTTTAAAGCTGAAATCATAAAATCCCATTCTAAAGAGTCAAATGCTTTTGAGAAATCTAAAAATAGTAGTGCCCCCTCTATATTAAATCTTTCTGCATAATCAATTATATCCTGGATTTGTCTAATATTATAACCTATATATCTATTTTTAACATAGCCATTTTGATCTTTATGAATAATTTTTGGTAGGATATTTTTAATGCGCTGAGCCAATGAATATGCAATTAATTTTGTATCAATATTTAATAAAGTTATGGGTCTATAATTATTTAAACAAAGCGGATCATTCTTTTTATGTATAAGAGAAATAACTCCTAATTTTTGAGAACTCGTTAACTCCCCTTTTTTATATGAATAATTAAATGTAGATACAGCAAATTCTTTTAATTCATCCCAAAAGGTTCTATAGAACTCAACACTTATTCCATCAATTCCTGGTGATTTGTTCAATTTCATCTTGAATAATGAATTCGTGCATTCTTCAATGGTTAAAGTACCTTCCATTATCTCACTTTCTTGTGTATTTAATTTATGATCAATATTTGTATCATTAATATAATTATCTATGGATTTCACATCTGGATTTGTACTGCCATTCTGGAATACTAGTTGATCTAGCAACAGCCATACTTGTCTCGAACTGTCCGGATCGAAACCAAGCAGTTGGTCTTCGTTCCCATCCCGAACGTCTGAGTTCTCACTAGTAACGGGTTTTACTACTGAAACGGTTATTTTAAACTGAACAACTCTGAAATGCCTGAATTTTCCGCAAGGAAAAATGTCAAGATCTTTTTCAGTTGTTCAGTACATGTTCAGTACACTAACTACTGCGATCGATTAAGTACCAGTCAGTACTGGTTCAGGTAATTAAGAAAAAACGCCTAGCGTTAAATCTAGTACTGACAAGTACATTTTAGTATACTTCAGTTCATCGATAGAATCGTTGTCCAGTACTTTTCAGTGTATCAAAATAATATGAGGATAGCTTCCCTTTGATTAGCAGAGGAATCGAAATGAAAAAATAAATATATATATGATCGGCAACGGGACTGTAGATACACGCGGTTTTGTTAACATGCGTTTCATTTTCATAAATTGGTAATTTATAACATAGATAATAACTGTTAAAATATTTGTATGAAAATAGCAATAACCAAATAACATTCTAATAATTATTCTTTAATGGTTATGCAAATATAAAATATTGATGACTGTAAACTGAGACTACAGCTGTAAATCGATTTCCGTAAAGATTAGAATGATGAAAAATCCCGATAGCTTTCGAAAATATCAACGCCATGATTTCGCGCCGTTTGTCTGGTCTTTTAGTAGTTTCTTGCTGTCTCCGACTGAATTAACGTAAGTATATATTTTGAAAACATTTTGACAGTTTCGATTGATATACATTCCTTACTTTACACAAGGATTTGCTATACAAATCCTTGCTTTACAAGAGTGTTTGTTTGATTTGTGAACTAGTTGAATTATCATTATCTGTTTATATCGACGACTTTCACAAGAAAGGGGGTTTGGTTATAATACATCTGTTCATTGAAATTCCTGTTCTTCGACATTTAAAACAAAATAATCTAAAACGAGCAGCTGATCAATATCAAGCATTAATAGTATAAAATTTAGCCTTAACATCAAAATAAACATGGACAGCAGGGGCGGATCCAACCATTTCTAAAAGGGGGTTCCATACCCAGGATAAAGGGGGTTCCAACCTTATGTCCCCATTCAAAAGCATTGATCGTCAAAAAAGGGGGGTTCCAACATATCCTCATATTATTTTGATACACTGGGCAGCTCACAGTGGCGGATCCAGAAATTTTCATAGGTAGGGGTCCACTGACTGCCTAAGAGGGGGCTCCGCTCCAGTCATGCTTCAGTGATTCCCTATACATGTATAATCAACCAAATTTTTTCCCTCAAAAGGCGGGGCCCAGGCCCCCTGCCACCCCCCCCTCCCTAAATCCGCCTCTGGCTCAGCTGGGTAACATTATCAGTGACAAGCATAATTTAACAAGGGAGCTGCCTGTCGGACCTAGACCATGTAGAATATTTTATTAGTGTAATAGTCCAAAATCGGACGAATAGAACTTAACATTGTTTTATATGGATTAAGTAAAGCATTTGCTTTCAATGGTTTTTCAACATTTTATTTATACAATATCAGAAATCAAAGTTTTATCTTTATACACCAATCTCAAGGTTTTTTTAAGAAGGAGTTACCGAACAGCTGCCCCGCGCAATCGGTTCCTACTGTGACATATTAACATAAGCATTGTGACATATGACATTTACTGGAAAGTGCATAAACTCGATAGTCGTCTATTTTGATGTAAAAAAAATCACTTTGTTATGTAAAAGTGGCAACTTTAACCTATAGATCTACCTGTATATTTAGCATGCTACTAAATTATATTCCAATCTTAATTGTCTAGGATTGTCAGTTTTACTAGCAAAGGTTTGGTAGTTCTCTCATGGCTCTCCAACTTCCTCCACCAATATACACAGACCTCCAGGAAATAGCACAATCATGACAATAGTCATAATAGTGCTGAAAGTGGTGTTAAACACCAATCAATCAAAATATATCTAATGCTTTTCAGGAATTTGTTTACCTACACTGACCTATTTTGCTTGTTAATCTAAACCTATAGGAAATTATGTGTTTTCAATACTCGATGATTTTTAAATTTGTATGGGGAAAACAACACACAATGATACACATAAGAAGAGAAGGCTGTATAGTTTATTGAAGAATTTAGCGTCAAACCTAATTC